ATGGGGGCACCTCCTCCATGCATCCCCCAAACTCCGCTTGGGGACACAGCTCTGCCCCAGCCACAGGGCAAACACCAGGCACCCCCGCTGCCACCAGCGCCCATCCCAGGAAAGCTCCGTCAAGAGCAGGAACTGCTACCTCCTCCGTCCAACCCCGCAGTGATGTCGGGGAGGGGACCGGGCCCCCCAGCCCCTCTCCAACTCGCCTTATTGCTATAGTCAGAGCAGCAGAGCGGCCAGGAGGAATTCAGGAGTTCGCTGTTTTAGGAGAGGGGACAAGGACATGTCCGAAGCCAAGGATACACCATCAAGAGGGTGGGCTCTCATCTTTCTGGGGAAGGGGGAAAGAGGGAGCTGCCGTCTCTTGCCAGCCCGGCCGATGGTGCCAGCAGCGCCGGGGCTGACACCGGGAGGGAGGAGAGTTGTGTTCGTGTCCAAGAGGAAACGCACCGTCCCACTCCAGGGCCTCCTGCCCTCTCCCGAGCCTGGAGCTGAGGTTGTACAAGCTCATTGCACCTCCAGCAGCAAGGACTGGGGAGGGACACTGGGAGAACTGGAGAAACAGGTAGAAATCCCCTGCCCGTCCCCCTGCCCCACAGCTAGTTGCGTTGGCTGGCCAGCTCCTGGGAGATGAATTTCCGAAGGCGCTCGAGGTACTGGCTGTAGAGTTCAATGTCATTGTGCCCGGCCCCGTCCACCCACAGCGGCTCCACAGCCTTGGGGCAGCGTTCAAAGAGTGCCAGGCCGTGGGAGAAGTCGATGACTTCGTCCTCCGTGCCGTGGATGATGAGGACAGGAGAGGTGATTTTGGAGATCTTCTCGATGCTGCCAAGAAGGTGGGTGGGGAAGAGATGAGAGAGGGGGGTAAGTACAGGGATCAAGGCACTCCCGTTCCTCCTGCCCCCCAAAAGACATCCCCTCAGGGACAGGGACCAGGAAACGCTCTTTGATCACAGCACAGCATAGGGACACGGAGCTTCTGCCAAGGATAAGCTCCAGGACAAGATCTCCCCCGGCGTGACAGATGAGGACCAGACAGCGGTGACAACAGCCCCATGGGACCGAGGCAGGGTTGACAGAAACCGCTGCAGGACAGCATGAGCACAGGCCCTCCCCGCGCTGGGATCAGCCATGTCAGGCTTTGAGGAGTGGAAGCACGGCTTTCTCAGCCCGGCCCTGAAGGCCGTGCGAGGCCATCAGGATGCAGAGCGTGGGCTGGTGGCTCCCAGCCACGGCTTCTGGCTCGGGGACCATCCCTTGGGCCCTGCTGGCCTGACTGCAAGGGAGAGGTGAAACAAGAGCTTGTCCCACCTCAGCACTGTCTTTCCATGTCACTGCCCCGCCATCTGCAGAGGCGGAGGGGAAAAAAAAGCCCAAGAAGTTACCCTTGGGGGAGAGAAGGCTCCCAGGGACCCCCAGGGCTTGTGATTCCTGACAAGGAGCCGGTGGCAAAGCTCCAAAGCCGACGGGCAAAGACACTGGGACAGGATGGCCAGGAGGTGATGTGACCAGAGGAGGTGGGGTGCACACATGGCATGGCCCTCAGGAGGGGGCACGGTGACCCCAGGGAGGGTTATGATCCCCCAGAGGGGACCGAATGCAAGGCAAGAGGATGCCGATGGGCATGTTTAAGTCTATCACGGGAAACCAGTCCACAGTTTTCACCATAACCCCTCTTCGTGACCAGGGCTGGCGTCCAGCACAGACGCGGCCCCTCCAGAGCTGACCCCTGTCCCTTCTGCTCAGGCCACTCACTTGGGGAAGGCATCGAACCAGTAAGTCTTCTTGGTCTCGGGGAAGGCGACTCTCATGCCAGAGGTGAGTGGGGAGTGGAGCACGATGGCAGCGCACTCGTAGCGGGAGGCCAGATCAACCGTGGGCACCGTGCCGATGCTTTGTCCATATAAAATAATGTTCTCCGGGCTGATCCCATACCTGGGAGAGGAGAGGAGGGAACAGGTCAACACCCAGGCACCAGAGTCACATTGCCAGGAGATACAGCCCAGGGGGTCACCCTGCTCTGGCCACAGCACCCTGCAAGGCTTCTTCGGGTGGGGGGGAACAGGGCTCTGTCCCCCCTGCCTTCCCCCGGTTCCTCGCAGCTGGGCCCAAAGCAGCTGCCCTGCAGCCCCGGCACGACCAGGGAGCAGCCAGGGCGGAGCTGCCAGGTGAGTTGCGGCAGTCAAGCCCTTGCCAGGAGCAGGGTTACGGGCGAGTTCGTGGACCCTGGATCACAGCCGCATGGGGCAGCCCCCAATTCCTGGGTGATGCTGCGAGCCAGGCCTGGCTGCAGGCAGGGTGGAGAAGTCAAGAGCCCCTCACGGGGCTGCACCTTGAGCCCGGCTGAAGAACCAGGGCTGAGCACAGCCAGGGGAGAGCCTGGGAACAGCAAGGTTGGGAGCACAGCTTGTGGCAGTGCCCCCAAGCAAGGTGACACCCTCACAGCATCCCTACCCCTTTGGGTTGCCCGTCCCGCTCCCCCTGCAGCTGCTTTCCGGCCACCCCTTCCTGTTACAAGTGGCCCAGGTTCCCTCTCTGGGAGATTTCCTGTTTTCCAGACTGCTGGACCGCAGGGTTTTCCTGGCGGCAGCATGGACATCCTCCCTTCCCCCTGCCCAGCACCCCCGCTCACCGCGTCCGCAGCGCCTGCCATGCAGCATCGATGTCGGAGTAGAGATTCCTCTCCGAGGGTTTGCCCGTGCTCACGCCGTAGCCCGAGTAGTCGTAGGAGAAGATGTTGCAGTTGATGCGGGTGCCCAGCCCAATGTAGAAGCTGCTCATCTGCCCCAGGTCCACGGCGTTGCCATGCGAGAAAAGCACCGTGTACCTGCAGCACCGGGGAGAGACCGGCACGGCGGGTTAATCGTGGACTCTGCCGCGGTGCTGCCGCACAGCCCGGCCCTGCCAGCAGCTCGGGGATGGATATGCCCAGGCAGTGCCAGCCAGAATGTCTATTTTGGAGGCCAAAACCCAAATCCCAGGACACGAAGGGCCAATGCCCCTCTGGCCACCAAGGAAAGTCCTCGTGACACCCCCGGTCCAACCCCAGAGACACCCAGAGCCTTCTCACTGCCCGGTGCCAGGGGCTCGCTCCCAGCAGAAACAGGCAGCCCAAAGGCAGGATGATTCTGTTCAAATTTTTGAGTCTATTTTTGGTAAAAAGCTCAGGATTTGGGGCTGTTTGCCCAATGGGGATTTCAAGTAAGAATTCTGACAGCGGGTTTTGGGTTTGTTTTTTTTCTCCCCTGAGTCTGGCAAGACACCAGACGCTGGGAAAGTAGTGAATTGTGGGAGTGACAAGGCACCAGAAATTTCCACCATAAGGGGAAAACCGATGTTAATCATAAAAATTAACATTAATAGTGCACTGATGGAAGCCTGGCTCTCTTCTGCCAGAGGAAGGGAGCAGGATGCGCTCCCTGCTGAGCCCCCTGAGTTGGTCCAAGAG